TAGCAGCTCCCCGCCCCCAACAGGGACCTACAAACTCTGCTGAGAAGCAGCCTGCCTTTCCTCTGACCTCCAAAGATAAGCAGATTCTACCTGATAACCAGAGATTTTAGAAGCTGTTTTTCTCTCATCTTAAGAGGGAAAAAGTAAACACTTCCACACCCTAATCCTACCTGCTTCCCCTTCTCTGATTTCTCCCCCAAACATTCCCCCCTTTCCACACCCTAAAGCTCCCATATGTAAAGTCCCAGCTCACAACCCGTGGGTGGACATCTTTCCCTGACATCTTTCCCTTCCCTTCCCTGACATCCTTCCCTCCTCCCTGATTTCTCCCCCAAACATTCCCCCCTTCCACACCCTAAAGCCCCCATATATAAAGTCCCAGCTCACAACCTGTGGGCTGACATCTTTCCCTGACATCTTTCCCTGCCCTTCCCTGACCCTTCCCTTCCCTTCCCTTGCCTTCCCTGACATCTTTCCCTTCCCTGACATCTTTCCCTTCCCCGAGGGAAAGGTGCCCCGTGCGAAATAAATCTGTATCCCGCTGAGAATTCCATCTGTGCCTCGGTGCCTTCCTCCATCACCCGCTCGCTCCTGCCCACTTCTCTACCTATCACTAGGGAACTGGAAAAGCAAGGTATGCTGGTCAGCCTTCTATAATCCTTCTTCACATGACAGTCATTTCTGGGGTACACACTGTGCCAGGCCCCTTGCTGGGTGAATCCTATGTGCAAATGACTGTTCTGGTCTCCAGTGGCCCAGCACAGAGGAGAATCTGGGTTCTAAGGGACAACCATTGAGCTGCAGTGGGGAGCCAGGGAAAGACAGAGTTGGTCTTGGAGTTTTCCAGAGCGATTTGGTCTTGACTTGGAGGTTTCCAGAAAGAGGAGAAAGAGGGGTCTATTCCAGAAGCTTTGCAGATGGAAAGATGGCTGTTTTCAGGGAAAGGAGCTGCTTACATGAGAGGGACAGTCCCAGTTGGGAAGAGCCTCGCCGGCCTTCCTAGGGAATGTAGACTCTGCGGTAAAGATATTTGGAGTTGCTGAGGACTCAGGCAGGTCCAAAGTGCTCATCTCTGCTTTCTGGAAAGATTCTGCACGAGCAGGGAGGTATGGGGTGGGGGTGGGAGCTTGAGCCAGAGAGACCCATCAGAAGACTATTTCCAGCCCATCCTTTACATAGTAGCTCTTAATGACTATCCACCTACTAGCTGACCTTGAGACATTCTCTGGGGTACCTGACCCCATGAAGTTGCTCACTCAGTTATGCAGAAGGTGGGGTATGGCAGGATCCCACATTCTCTCTGACCCCATGAGGTTGCTCACTCAGTTATGCAGAGGGTGGGGTGTGGCAGGACCAGGAAGCTTTATCCTTTCTGCTCTTGGTTAACTTTATAACAGGTTAGCTTTTAGATTTCTGGCTCATTCCAGACAAGATGCCTCAAGCCTTAGGAGAAACTCAACTTCACAGGCATCTGTATAACACATCTACTTTCTGGGAAACAGACTGTGTATGGTTAGGAGAGAGAGGCTCACCTAGATCCTGCTGTCTCAGGCTTGCCTTTTCTGGCACCAAGGTTCTATCCTGGACTAATTACCAGGAGTTTTCTTCTGACATCTGTGCAGTCCCTCTGGGCTTTTGGACTCTCACCATAGCCAGGTTATCAAAAATGTTGTGGGGAGGAACTGCAGTTGTAGCTCAGTCTGTAGAGTAGTGTTTAGCATGCACAGAGCCCTGGGTTGGACTCTCAGAACTATATAAGCTGAGTGTGATGGTGCATACCTCTAATCTCAGCACTGGGAGATGGAATCAGGAGGGTCTGTTCAAAGTTATCCTTCGCTACATACCAAGTTCGAGGTCAGCCTGAGATACCTGAGATCCTGTGTCAACAACAACAACAAAAGAAAAAGGAAAATAGGTGGAAAGTCTTATGGGAAGGACATCCAGGATAATAGTCCCCATGTGGAGGTCAGAGCACAGCCTCTGGTGCTGGTCCTCACCCTCCGCTCTGTTTGAGTCAGGGCCTTTTGTTGTTCACCACTGCATATACCAGGCCAGATGGCCCACAAGCTTCCGGGTCATTCTTCTGTCTCTGTCTCTCATCTCACCATAGGTGAGCTGGGATTATAGATGCTCACTATAGATGCATGGGTTCTGTGGATCCAATCCAGGCCCTCATGCCTGTGTGACACTTTATGCACTGAGCTATCTCCCCAGATTGAGAAGGGAAACAAAATAAAACAAACAAACAAACAAAAACCCAGCAGCAACTCATTAGGTTCCACTAGAAGTAACAGGGCCACCAACTCCCTACAGAGCAATGTGGTAATGTGGTACCAGAGTAAGAAAGTGCTCAAACAAGATGGAGGACACATCAAAAGGTCACAGCAGCTAGTGTGAAAGGGTTTTTGTCTTTTCCTGTTATTGTGATAAAATATTCTGGCAAAAGCAACTTAAGGGAGAAAGAGTTTATTTTGGCTTACAGTTCAAGACCGTTATGGTGGGGAGGTCAAGGTGACAGGAGCTTGAAGCAGCTGGTCACATTGCATCTACAGTTAGAAGCAGAGCAAGGAAGGTGTGCTGCGGCTCACCTCCCTTTATCCACTTACACACTGTAGGATCCCAGCCAGGGAATGATGCCACCCACAGTGGGGCAGGTCTTTGCAGTCAACTAACAATCAAGTTATCCCCCAATGGGCATTGCTAGAGGCCTCCCTGGTGATTCTAGATTCTGAATGACAACAAGTATCAAGTAGACAACACTAATCATGACAGCTGTCAGTAGCCAATGGTTGGTGGGGAAATTGACTTCCAAAATAAATAATGGTAACAATAGATCCTGATCTGTAGGATAAAGTGAATCCACTTTGTTAAGCAGAAGTCAGACCCCCAAAGACTGGCTATAGTGTGAGTTCACTTATGTGACATTCTAGAAAAGGCAACACTTAGGGACAGAAACAGATCAGTGGGATAGAAATAGAGGGTGTGAGAGGAGGCTATAAAAAGATGCATGAAGGGCATTTGGTGGTGATGTGGCTTTTCTGTTTTATGACTGTGGTGCTATATATATGATTGTATATGCTTGTCAACACTCAGAACTACAACCCCTAGAGAATGAATTTTACTGAATATAAGCTTAACTTTTTAAAAATTACATTTTATTTATTTTGTGTTTATTTTACTGTGTATATATGTACTTTATTTTGTTTTTTTATTTAAATTATTTTATTTAATATTTTTATTTTATGTGTATGAGTATATTGCCTGCATGAATGTAAGTGCACCCATGTCACCCACGGAGGTCAGAAGAGGGCATCAAATTCTCATGGAACTGGACTTACAGACAGTTGTTAGCCACCATGTAGGTGTTGGGAATTGAACCTGGGTCCTCTGCAAGAGCAGCCAGTGCTCTTAACTGCTAAGCCATCTCTCCAGTCCCATTTATTTATTTATTTATTTATTTATTATTTATTTATTTATTTATTTATTTATTTATTTATTTATATTTTTCTTGGTCTTTTTTGAGACAGGGTCTCCCAGTAGGCCCAGCTGGCCTAGAACTCACTATGTAGACCAGGCTGGCCTTGAACTCACAGAGATCTGCCTGCCTCTGCCTCCCACATACTGGGATTAAAGGCGTGCACCACCACGCTCAGCTCCTTTTTATTTATTTTGTATCTATACATGCTTTATACACATGTATGTGTATGTGAGTGGGTACACATATAACCATGGCATACAATTGGAGATCAGAGAACAGCTTGTGGGAATCAGTTTGCTCCTTCTACCATGTGAGCCCCAGGGATCAAATTCAAGTCATCAGTCTTGGCAGCGGGCACATTTACCACTCAGCCATTTCTCTGGCCCTTGAATATAAATTAAAAAAAATTAACCAAGATGCCAGGAGCCTCAAATGGAGCATCAGCTTTTACAAGTGAATCACACTGAAAAACAGACACACTGAAGGTGGTCGGAAAGAGCCAGCCAAGTGCCTTGGGAAATTGGGCTCCTGACTGGATACTGTAAGACTAGAGAGAAAATGAACGCATAGAAACACTGGCGGTCAGAGTTCTTGCAGGAATGTTGTCAAGCAATTCTGCAACTATTTCACGTGTATGCTGGGACGAGACAGAAACACAAATGTAGGACTGAAAACCTAGTTTCTCACTGCCAGTGGGAAAAATATCAAATAAAAGGGAGGTCAGAATAAATTCTGTATTAGAATCTGAGCTATCAGCATGAATTCACCATTTTTAAATTTTTACACACATATACACAGACAGGTAGATACAGAAATACAGATGTGTGTGCATGCATGGGTTCCTGCACAGAGACAGGTTTTCCAGCTCTGTTCTCTGAGGGCTGAGAAGTAGTGACATTTGGTGACAGAATGCATGGCTACTGCCCAGATTTCCATATGTAAGATAAAGGAGGCAGGAGTAGTGCTTGGTTCCAGGTCCTGAGCAGGGAAAATACAAAAGCTCAGAGCACCCTGAAGTATCATCAGAAAGCAGGTAAGTCCTGAAGGGAGCATGGCGCATGGACTGAGGAGTGGCACATACATAGTGTCTGAGTCTAAACACTAAATATTTATGCCCGATATATACCTTATACATATATTCTGAAGTTAATTATATATATTTTTAGTACTTTTGTGCATGCAATGAAGTTTTATGGTGTTAAACTTTATACTCAGCCGGGTGTGGTGGTGCACACCTTTAATCCCAGCACCCGGGAGGCAGAGGCAGGCGGATCTCTGTGAGTTCAAGGCCAGCCTGGTCTACATAGTGAGTTTCAGGACAGCTGGGGCTACAGGGAGATGCTGTCTCAAAAAGACACACACACACACACACACAAAAAAAAAAAAACCCAAAAACCCTTATACTCATGACATCATGCTGGTGGTCAAAAAGTTTTGTGTTTTATAGCATTTTGAATTTTGGATTTTCAGATTAGGGATGATCAATCTGTTTTATAACTCATACACTATAACAAAATAAATAGTGTTGTATGAAAGGAAAGAAGTTTAGCACTCCCTTTGACAAAGATGAAAGAGGTCCTTGGGCCTAACAACACTCATAGAGTTAAGGCATTGCCACAAACTTTGTGGCATTTAACACTATTTTTTTTTTTTAAAACAAAATAAAATAAGTATTTCTGGTCTATATTCATATAAGCAAAGAAGTAATCAGAAGAATCATCAAGGACAATGCTTCCTTACAGGGAATTTTAATTAATTATATGATTAATAAATAAGGGGATTGTATAGTAATAATTGGTTAACAAGAGAAAAAGAAAAACAAGTAACAACATATCCTACTTACAGATTGTATATAATTCCTAAAGAGATTTTGTTAGACTTACATGTAGTCAGTTTTCTTTTGGGGGGAGGAAATAATAAAGTGGTATCGTATTTATAACCTCACATATCAATTTCTCATTACTAAGTTACAAGAAATCAGCCAGGCATGGTCGCACATGCTTTTAATCCCAGATCTCACAGAAGTGGGCAGAGCTCTATGAGATCGAGGTCAGTCTGTCTACATGGTGAGTTCCAAGTACATTTTTAAAATTAAAATATTTTATTTATTATTTTTATTTTATGTGTGTGAGTGTTCTGCCTGCATGTAGATAGGTGCACCTGTGTCGTACAATGCCCAAGGAGGTCAGAAGAGGGCATTGGAACCCCTGGAACTGGAATTGTTATCTGCCAAGTGGGTGCTTGGAATCAAACCTGGGTCCTCTGCAAGAGGAGCCAATACTCTTAACCACTGAGCCATCTCTCTAGCCCCCCAAGCACATTTTTAAAAGATTGATTTCTTTTTATTTTATGTGTATGAACATTTTGCTTACATGTATGTAAGTGCATCATGTGCATGCCTGGTACCTGTAGAGGCCAGAGAGGGCATCAGATTCCCTGGATCTGGAGTTAAGGATAGTTGTTAGTTGTCATGTGGGTGTTGGGAACCAAACCTGGGTGTTTTGTAAGTGCAACCAGTACTCTTAACTGCTGAGTCATCTCTCCAGTACCATCAATTAAATTGTATACTCACTTGATTTCTTATATCCTTGCTACAGTTACCTATTAGTTCAAAGAATTTTGTTATGAATTATTTGAGATTTTCTACATAGGCAAACTGCCATCTAAGAGTAAAGGTCATTTTGTATCTTCTGTGTGTATGCCTATTATTTGCTTTTCTTGTCTTAACACTCTAGCCAAGATTTCCATAAAAACGTAGAATGAGGGGCCTGGAGAGATGGCTCAGTGGTTAAGAGCACTGACTGCTCTTGCAGAGGACCCTGGCACCCACATGGCGGCTACGAACTGTCCAGGAGAATCTGAAGTTCTCTTTTGACCTCTGTGGCATTGCATGACATGGGTGCACTCACATACATGCAGACAGTACACACATGAAATAAAAATAATAAATAAAATATATTTTTAAAATGTGGAATGAGATTAGTGAAAGGTGAAATCTTAGCTTTCACTCTGATTTAGGGAGAATGCACTGAATTTTTTGTCATTAATATGATGCAAGTCTTTTGTAGGTGTTCTTTAGCAAGTCTAAGAAGTTTATATCCTCCTTTGCTGAGTTTGTATTTGATTTTTTTTAAGTCTTGGATTAAACCCAGGGTGTTATAAACATGTCCGACAAGGACTTTCACTACACCTGAACTGAGCAACACTGCCAGCCCTTGCTGAGAACTTCTAATCATGAGTGGGTATTGGCTTTTGTCAATGAACTTTTCTGTATCAATTAACACAATTATGTGAATTTTCTTCTGTAGCCCATAACTGTGGTCAGCTGTATTACTTGATGTTCAAATACTGAACCGCCCTTGCCTACTTTGAATAATTCCTATGTAGCTGTGATGTATCATTTTCTTAATGCAATGCTAAATTTGATTTGTTGTTGGGGACCCCTGTTGTGTAAAGTAGCAGTCTCTTCATGTCCGGATAGCCCATGGGCTCGGCCTCATATGCAGAAATTCCTTTTTCAGCAGGGTGCCTTCCAGGCATCTTCCTGACTCATCTTTTGAAGCAGCCATCACAGAAACATGGCCTCCGGCTCAGGAACTGCCAGCTTTTTCTGTGTGATTTTCAGGCAGTCTGGCAGCCTGGCAGGAGCCCACTTCCACATGTAAGTAGGGGATCCCACAAAGTACCTTTCAGCTAAGGTTTTCACCACTACCCCCACAGTATAAAGTATCCTGGTTTTCCCTCAATAATCGGAGCTGGATCACTAAGGCCTGGAGCCGAGCTGAGTCACAGAATAAAGGGGCTGTACCACTGACTGAGCTGAGTTCTGTGTCTTACTGCCTACGATTCTGACTGAGCTGAGTCCTGTGTCTTACTGCCTACGATCCAGTCTCCTGGGGGGGGGGGCGAAAGCTATCCTTCCGTCATCGGCTCACGGAAATCCAGCTTTAGCGGCAGGCACCTTCCCGCGTGATCCAGCAGCTGATGGATCTCGCACCTTGAGGAAGTGCAGGGGTGAAATTGGGGCGGAACTCGACCGGGCCAGCCCCGGTAGCAGAGACCCACAGAGACACGGAGAAGCAGGGACCCGCCAGCAACACGGACGGCTCGGGACCCGCCACTTCCCAGGTGTGCGCAGGCTACCGGCGCCACGCTAGCAGCTGGCGCCCCGAGATCCCTGCGCCCCCATAATTTGTTAGTATTTTGTTGAGTATTTTTATATTTTTAGTCATGAAAGATATTGGTCTATGGTGTTCAGATCTTAATGTCTTTATCTGTTTTGGTATTAGAGTGTGCTAATCTCACAGAATGACCTAGCAAGTGTTTCCTCTGCTTTTATTTTCTAGACCCTAATTTAAAAAAAAAAAAAAGTTGTCATCACTATAGTTAATATTTAGTTGCATTTCTAATATTTTTAAAAGCTTTATTTATTGGGACTGGAGAGGTGGCTCAGTGGTTAAGAGCACTGGCTGTTCTTACAGAGAAGCCGGGTTTGATTCCCAGCACCCACATGGCAGCTAACAACTGTTTGTAACTTCAGTTCCAGGGGATCCAACACCTTCTTCTGACCTCCGAGGACACTTCACAACACGGGTTTACTTACACACATGCAGATAATACACCCATACACATGAAATAAAAATAATTATATCAAAATATTTTTTTAAATTTTATTATTTTTATTTTATGTGTATGCATGTATTGCCTGCATGTAGGTAAGTGCACCCGTGTTGTGCAGTGGCTGTGGAGGTCAGAAGAGGCTGTTGGATCCCCTGGGACTGGAGTTAAAGACAGTTGTTAGCTGCTGTGTGGGTGCTGGGATTCGAACCCAGGTCTTCTGCAAGAACAGCCAGTGTTCTTAACTGCTGAGCCATCTCTCCAGCCCCGTATGTATGCATGTATTGCCTGCATGTAGGTAAGTGCACCCGTGTTGTGCAGTGGCTGTGGAGGTCAGAAGAGGCTGTTGGATCCCCTGGGACTGGAGTTAAAGACAGTTGTTAGCTGCTGTGTGGGTGCTGGGATTCGAACCCAGGTCTTCTGCAAGAACAGCCAGTGTTCTTAACTGCTGAGCCATCTCTCCAGCCCCGTATATCAAAATATTTTTAAAGAGATTTATTATTTTATGCGTATGAGTGTTTGCTTGCATGTATGTATTTGCACCATATGTGTGCAATGCCTGCAGAATCCAGAAGAGGGCATCAGATCTTCTGGAGCTGGAGCTGTAGATGGTTGTGAGCTGTGATGCTGGAAATTGAACCTGGGTCCTCTGGAAGTGTTGTGCACCACCACACCTGGCCTATTTCTATAACTCTTATGCCTTACAATCAGAGGTTTCAACTTACCTTCAAATCTCTTCTTCTTCACATGGTCATTGTTGGCTTTATTTTTATAATTTATTAGCTGCATTTTTTAGTTGTGTCCAGACTTTTGGTCAACTTTTCTATTTAAAAGGTTATGTTAGCCAGCTTTCCTGTGGTTGTTAAGAAAACTTGACAGAGGGTGGAGCAATGGCTTGACAGTTTAGAGCACTGGCTGCTCTTGCAGAAGACTCAGGTTTGGTGCTAACAACCACATCTTCTGGCCTCTGTAGGCATTGCACATATGTGGTTCACTTATATGTATGTAGGCACATACTCATAAAATGAAAGTAAATCTTTAAAAGAACAAAGAATGCTTAGCACAAATAATTTAAGGGAGGAGGTGTCTATTTTGGCTCACAGTTTTAGAGGTTTCTCTAAGTCATGGCTTTGTTGATTCTGGGCCTGTGGTGAGGCAGCAGGACCAGGTGACAGAGGCTGCTCACCTCATGGTGGACAGGAAGCCAAGAGAGAAGAAAAAAATCAGGATTAGGTATAACTTCAAAGGCCAGCCCCAATGACCTACTTCCTCCCCACCTCATAATAAAATTCCCACTACCTCCCACAATATCATCATTGGCTGGGTACCAAGCCTTCAATACACAAGCTTGGTGGGGCATTGCATATACAAACCATACAACAGTTATTCTTACTTTTCAGTATTTCCAAGTCTTTTCAATAACTGCCTATTCTTTTTCCAATGAATTTAAAATTCCTTCCTTCCTTCCCCCCTTCCTTCCTTCCTTCCTTCCTTCCTTCCTTCCTTCCTCCCTCCCTCCCTCCCTTCCTTCTTCCTTCCTTCCTTCTTTATTTTCTCTCTCTCTCTTGCTCAATCTGTGTGTATGTGTATTCATTTCATGGCACACATGTGTGGAGGTCAGGGGACTACTTGTGGGAGCTGGTTCTCTTCTTCCACCATGTGGGTGTCAAGATAGAGCTCAGGTCATTAGCTTGGCTGCAAGTACCCTTACCCACTGAGCCCTCTTGTCAGCCCAATATTACCTGTTTTTATTTCACAGTTTTCTAGTTTTTTTTTTTTTTTTTTTTTTTTTTTTTTTTTGTGAACACCAGTCCTTATTTTTTTTGTGTGAGGATTTTAAGAATGCATATATAGGTACATCACACACACACACACACACACACACACACATACACACACACACTTCTTTTAAGGTACTGTCTGTGTCTTCTCCAGCAAAATGGATCCCATTCATTGTATCTTTCTCCTTCTACCAGATGACTCCTATGTTTGGTGATTTTCTTGGAGAGCTCTCTGGACAGTGAAGTTTCC